GCGACGGGGGGGGGGGTAGAGGATGTCGTTGTCCGGAAAAAATTTTTACCGGAAAATTTTTTTTGAAAGGGGGCCCCCCAAAAAATTTTTGCCCCGGGTTCCCGCCAACCTCTCTGCGGCCCTGGTTGTCCCCGAGCCGGCGGCGCGAAGCGCCGTGCGAGGGTACTAATTTCCCCCGGCTATTTACACCCGGGGAAACGAAAGCATTAGCGAAGTCTGAAGTTCATCAATGAGCGCGGGCGTCGGTCACCAACGATGGGTGGTCATCCTCACTGATCTCAAAAATATGGCGGACTGTCATTAAAAGCAAACACTGATTGGTCCAATTTAAAGTTTGCATTATAACGGCTGCATGACGACAGCGAAATAGCAAACATTTGACCGCATTTCTTGATTTGATAAGTTGATGATTGATAAATTTCTTGCAAATATTCTTCATTTTTGCTCGTATTTCTGCGAGATTTTGTAAATTTCAAGGAAAGAAAGGGCGAAAGAATCAGCTAAAAGTAGGGAGCCGACGTTAACGAAGGTAAGTTTGTTTTAAATATTGATTTTATAATGGCTTTAAAACCCGACGGCTTTTGCGTATATCAAACAACTAAACAAGACATACAAGAGAGCATATAATTTCAGTGTATCTTTAATATTGATTCCCTTTTTTATTATATTGAATTTTTTAAATAAAAATAAAGCAAAGTTATTTGCAAGCGAGAATTTTAAATCATTTTATTGCAAAACTCAAAGTTTATCGATAAAGCCATTTAATAGTTAAAGGCAGTTTAGTTTTATAAAGAACACTTTAAAACGTTTTGTGAATTGTTTGTGGTTGAATTTTACCTTAAATCGAAGCTTGTATTACGTATAATTACATACCTAACATAAATATGTTGGGAAATTGATAATTTTGTAATTAAAAGTGATATTTTTAGGCGATTTTCATTTGTAAGAATATTCTTAAAAAATTATCGTGTTACCATAACAACTACTTTAGATACTTCATGTTCGGAAAATACAACGGTTTTGTCAGCAAGGCGAGGGTTTCTGCATGCATGTATTTTCTAGTTAATATGGAACTAAAAAGAATTAAGGAAAGGCATTACTACAGGGACTACAGTGCCTTCAATAAAGAAGCATACCTAAATTATATTTGATTAACTGGAGTAGCATTTCAAATGGTGATACTCCATCTAATCTAAATACTGTAACTGCTAGAGTCACGGATATACTGACTTCCGTTATCCTCGAGCCGGCGGCGCGAAGCGCCGTGCGAGGGTACTAATCCCCGAGCCGGCGGCGCGAAGCGCCGTGCGAGGGTACTAATTCCCCCCGGCTATTTACACCCGGGGAAACGAAAGCATTAGCGAAGTCTAAAGTTCATCAATGAGCGCGGGCGTCGGTCACCAACGATGGGTGGTCATCCTCACTGATCTCAAAATATGGCGGACTGTCATGAATAACGGACACTGATTGGTCCAATTTAAAGTTTGCATTATAACGCCTGCATGACGACAGCGAAATAGCAAACATTTCTTGATTTGATGAGTTGATGATTGATAAATTTCTTGCAAATATTCTTCATTTTTGCTGGTATTTCTGCAAGATTTTGTAAATTTCAAGAAAGAAAGGGCGAAAGAATCAGCTAAAAGAAGGGAGCCGACGTTAACGAAGGTAAGTTTGTTTTAAATATTGATTTTATAATGGCTTTAAAACCCGACGGCCTTTGCGTATATGAAACAACTAAACAAGACAGCATATAATTTCAGTGTATCTTTAATATTGATTCCCTTTTTTATTATATTGAATTTTTTAAATAAAAAATAAAGCAAAGTTATTTGCAAGCGAGAATTTGAAATCATTTTATTGCAAACTCAAAGTTTATCGATAAAGCCATTTAATAGTTAAAGGCAGTTTAGTTTTATAAAGAACACTTTAAAACGTTTTGTGAATTGTTTGTTGTTGAATTTTACCTTAAATTGAAGCTTGTATTATGTATAATTACATACCTAACATAAATATGTTGGGAAATGGATAATTTTGTAATTAAAAGTGATATTTTTAGGCGATTTTCGTTTGTAAGAATATTCTTAAAAAATTATCGTGTTACCATAACAACTACTTTAGATACTTCATGTTCGGAAAATACAACGGTTTTGTCAGCAAGGCGAAGGTTTCTGCATGCATGTATTTTCTAGTAAATAAACATGCTCCAATAAAGCTGGCCTCGCGCAGTAAAAATAAGCAGCTAACTAAGCCATGGATAACGAATGGTATACTTAAATCTATTAAAACGAAACAAAAAATGTATTATACGCATTTCTACTCTAATAATACAATTAACATGCGCGCTTATAAAATCTTTGCTAATAAGTTAAATGTAATTAAAAGTAAAAGTAAAATGATGTATTATAAAAGTAATTTTGAAATGTGTAAAAATAACTTAAAGGCTACTTGGAAATTAATTGGAACCATTATTAAAAGAAAGGCCAAGGCTCAGCAATAATAAGACATTTTCAAATACTTACGACATAGCTAATGAGTTTAATGAATATTTTGTTAATGTAGGACAAAGTCTCGCAAGCAAAATTCCAAGTGTAAATGGCAATCCTACTAGCCTTATTGACAATTCCCCAACTTCTAGTTTTGTTATGTCTCCAGTTCTTCCATCTAAGGTAATGAAACTTTTTAATGATTTGAATGAAAATAAAGCATCGTTAAATATTCCGAATAAACTTATTAAGATAGCAAGTAGCCAACTTGCAATACCTTTTTCATACATATATAATCGATCAATTAGAATGGGTATTGTTCCTGATTTGTTTAAAATATCTAGAATTACCCCTATTTACAAATCGGGTGTCCTAACAGATCCTAATAAACTATAGGCCAATTTCTATTCTACCCCCATTCAGTAAAACTCTTGAACGTATTGTCTACGATCAACTGTTGCATTTTTTGGAAAAAAACAATATTCCCTTTGAACATCAGTTCGGCTTTCGGAAAGGGTATTCTACTGAACAGGCTATTCTTGAAATTACTGAAAGTTTAAATAACGCTATTGATAATAAGTTGATTACCTTTGGTTTATTTTTAGATTTCTCGAAAGTATTTGATACTGTTAATCATCAAATTCTAGCTTCCAAATTAATGAAATATGGAATTCGTGGGAATCAATTATTATGGTTTAAAAGCTATTTAGAAAACAGAAGGCAATACGTTAAAATAGGACAAACAGAATCTGAGATGCTTACTACGACCTGCGGTGTCCCGCAAGGTTCCACCCTGGGGCCACTATTATTTTTGTTTTACATAAATGATATGCATAATTGCTAAAAAAACCTCTCTTTCCGTATCTTTGCTGATGATACAAATGTTTTCTTCTCCTTAAAAGATGTTAGTGAACTGGAGACTGTTATGAACGAGGAGTTTAAATTATTGTTAAATTATTGTAGTATTAATAAACTATCAGTTAATTTTAAGAAAACTCACTTCATGATTATAACATCAAAAAGAAAGAATATGCCTGTAATAAAAATTGCTAACGTCAAACAAATAAGTTATATAAAGTACTTAGGAATCTTCTTAGATGAGCATCTTAGTTGGGAGTATCAAATAAAACATGTAAATAATAAAATTGCTAAAAATCTAGGTATATAATAACTAAACTAAGATACTATCTTGATCTCTCTATGCTAAAGCAACTCTAGCTCTATTACACCCTTGTCTATCCGTATCTCAATTATGGAATTATGAGCTGGGGGAATACATATACATCAAAGATGAACAAGATAAGAACAAAACAAAATAAGGTTATCAGAAGTCAAATGTTCCAAGAGCATTCTCATCCTTTGTTCTACAAGCTGCTAATCAACATACCTAGAACACTAGATATCAGATATGCTAATAAAATGAATCTTGTAAGACCAAAAGTAAGAACTAATTATGGAGTTCATACTTTCAAATTCATTTCTTCAAAAATATGGGAAACTATTGATATCGATATTAAAAAATTATCCTCATTAATACTCTTTAAAAAAAGCCACATGAATATATTATTACATAATCAGAATTAATTTTCAGTTTATAACTGTTTATCAATATATTTAGTGAAATTTAGTTGCAAATACTCAACCTAATTGAATTATATCGTTAAATGTTTCAGAGGCCGGCTCGAAAGCTCTGCTACTTCGGTCTCTATGCACTTCCTTTCTATGTATTAATATCTAATTGTATGTATATTTTCTATCCATCTGTAAATGCTGTGGCAACCCTTATAGCATTTTGTAACGAAATTTCTCCAGAGGAATCTCCGCCGAAAGACGTTGAATACCTCGAAAAGCTGTCGAAAGAAGAACTCAACAAACTTTTGACTGCTTTTTACCCAATGGCGAAAATTACAAAAAATCTGCTCTTATGGGTTTAAGGTTTGGTCTTCAGAGGCATTTTCTACTTAAAAAGAACGTTGACATCATTTGTGATCAAGAATTTGCAAAATCAAATCAAGTTTACGAGGCAGCCATTGTTGAATTAAAACGGCAAGGTTTTGGCAATGTCGTCGAACATCACAACGCAATTTCGCGCGAGGATCTCCAAAAAATACAATTGTCTTACAATCCTGCTGTTCCTGATCCAAAAAGCCTTCAATGATTTGTTTGGTTATGGCACGCCGATTGTAGCAATATTCAAACTAGCATATTTATACTCAATTCAATAAAAAACCTATTCAATTCAATAAAAGGCATATCCAATTAAATAAAAAACACATTCAATTCAATAAAAAAATTCAATTCAACAAGACTTTTTTCAATCCAATGAAAAATTCAATTCAATGAAAAATTCAATTCAATGAAAAATTTCAATTCAATGAAAAATTCAATTCAATGAAAAATTTCAATTCAATGAAGCGCGGTCGCTAAGCAAAGTTGCAGTACTCCAGTCATTGCTTGCAACTCAGTGGCTCCAATTTTCCCGCGAAATCCCGCCATCCTAGCTGCGTTTTCAAAATGGACGACGTTAACGATCGTTTGCGTTATCTTTCTCGCCATTTGACTGAAGCCAATAATATAATATCCACTTTTATGGAACAACCTGTTACATCTACAACTTCTGCACCATCTACTGCAACTACAACTACGTCCAGTGCAACGACTGTCGGCTCAGTGTTAAGTCGTGCCCGAGCAATGATTTCTCAATCGGTATCTAATGGCGCTTGTTCGCGACTTGGAAGAAGAGAACGTTTGAGAGCTACGTCAAGCCCTCGTCAACAAAATCCACCAAAAAAACAAAAGAAGGACGAGCAAAAAGTTTTCGAGTTCGTAATTGTGGATGTACGAGAGAGTGAGGGGAATTCGTCGTGGTCATTCTCGGAAGACATTGTTTTACTTCGAGGAATTATACAAATCAGTAACAGCTCAGGCGAAAGGGAAATGCGAGAACAAATAGGGTTGGCAACTCGAATGAAATACAGCATTCTTAACAACGAAGATTTCGCATTCTTGCGAGCCACGCGACGAGTGTTGGCCAAACCGGTCAACAGTGGAGCTTACGACTTTAAACAGGTGAAGTTGTTGGCCGGACAAGGATCTATTTATTTAAAGCTAAAAGACCACATTTACTGTTTATTACAAGAAGGAAGAGATGATGACGATGACAGTAAGTTTTAACTTTGTATAGCTATAAATGTTAGGTTGGAGGGGGTACTAGTGACTGGACAGAGCAAATGGCCAGGAAACAGAGCATACAGAGGGTCGACTCTTTAAAAAGCCTTTGATTTTCAAATTCCCACTGATACGTACGGAATTTGACATTGAAAAAATTATATTGCAATGTTTACAAATTCTGGCCATACAGCAGCAGCAGATTATCTGGGGGGGGTTGCACAACCTCCCCCCCCCCCCTCAACAAAAATAATATTTTTTATTGAACTTTTACAAACCTAAGATAAACCTCGAGATAAACATTCATTTCCCAGTGTAGACAGAAACTCGCTTCTGCTGAGTAACTTGTTCATCTGGTTGACTTGGCTCTATATAAGCAAGCTCTTCTAAAGTAGCCTTGGCTTAGTCTCATGGCGATGAAACTTCTTTACCGTAGTGGCCTAATTTAACGCAAATGTTTGTCATTTTTAATTTATCCTAGATATGGTTCAAATACGCGGAATATGCGATGAACGTCAACATGAACCAACGTCGACTGAAGCTTCATCAGAAATTGTTGACACTCCTTGTTCCATTGTTAACATTGATGGACATGATGATGCCAAAGTTGATGACCTTGCCACAAAGATAGTTGGTTATTGTACATCACACAATATTGAAGATCCCATCGAGATACTCAGGTACTTTCAAAAAATTATGGTAGAAGGGAGAGGACTGGGCATTCAAGATGTTAGTTGGGTTGAAGAAGGAGAAACCAGTCTCATAATGGTTGACCGCTACAACATCTTAGAAACATCATTTGAGGAGGTGAAATCCTTAGAAAATGTACGGAAAACACTTGAAGTGCAGTTTTATGGCGAAGTGAGTTATTCTTTTTTGATATTTCACAGTTTTTTTTTTCTTTGAGTATATATCTATTCGCACTTTTCTATCTGGTTGAGGGTTACATTTATCATTGGGTTCAAGGTTAGGTTATGGTTTGGGTCTTTCATCAAGTTGAAATGCAAAAAAAACCATAACCTTAAGCCCAAACCTAACCTAAAATTAGTTTGAACTACTTTTAAACCATTTTTACCAGTAATTAATTTTCTCCGTCAACATATACAAGTCCTGCATGTGTACATAATCCATCTCATTAAAGCATTTATCCATGTATGTAATGTTATTTCTAGACAGCACAAGACCTTGGAGGACCTCGAAAGGAGTTCTTTTCAATTGTTGTCCTAGAAATATATAACAAGTATTTCAAGAATGGTTTAAAAGAACATATGTCTGAAGACTATTATACAGCAGGAATTATATTAGGTGAATTGTATTATTATATTTAAATTACGGTTAAATTTTTCATTTAAATTGGTTACATTCTGAGTTAGACATGACTATTTTCTGTAACAGCTGGGAAAGGGTATTCTAAAACATTTTACCAGTACTGTATACAGAATCAGCGGCTGTGTTGTATAAGATATAAGATATCCAAACTTGAGCAGAAAGCGAGAGAGGTTCTATATCTTTTCAACACTGACGAGAATTGAATATGAATTATATATATTAACTATAAAGTATAGTGTATAATTATAAATCTAATTTGTTTTTAGGACTCAGCATATTACAAAATGGAAAGATACCTTATTTCCTAGGTGATGTTTCCTTGAAAATTGTTTTTCATTCTGTTTCTCTCAATGATTGTCTAAGTCAACTACGTCTGGGTTTTAAAAAGCTTGGCATATATCAGGTACCATATCCAAACAATGTTCTTCATCGAAATTGTTATTCACCAAACAAAGCAAATATGCATGTTTGAACAATTGTACTGCATATGTTTAATTAATAGGTTGGAGTCCAGTTACCAAATTTCCTAAATATCTTCAATCACTGACAAACCAACCTGACCTTAAGATCATTTGTCAACTTGTTCACACCCAGTTTCAGTGAGAAAGGCTCCAACAAAAGAAAGTTTGAAAATGATGTATATGCAGTGTTCGTGAAATATCTTAGAAAGGTTGCAAGTAAGAAGTTCAGAGCAAATATGATTTGCATTTAATTTATGCAATGCCATTTGAGCGATAAAATTTTAATTGAATTTCCTGACATGTATTGTCCTTTGATGTTCTTTTTAATTTTATTTTCCGTTGGATCTGGTTTTTGTATGAATTGTTAAAAAATGTACTACATTTTTCAGAAACTGTAAATTTTCTCATCTTAAATTGCTTGACTGACAATTTAAAGCCCATGACATCCAGTGAAATTTGAGCAGGCACTAGAAATTTTTGATGAACAAATTTAGTTCAAAGGAATATAGGAGACTAAGATACACAAAAGATGGAAGCACCCTCAGTACTTACACATTAATTTTTCCAGGCAGTCTGTACTTTGTAACACATCCTTTTTTGTTTTTCACCAAATTTTATCATCTAGATTTTTAGATTATGTACAAATTCAGCTGGAACTGCTGGATATTGTTAATAAAATTGTCTGTACCAGCGTAGGTAGTATAAATGTGAAATTGCTGTCCTAATTTCAAATTGTTTCTTGCAGATGGTGAACGCATTGGTATTTCCTCCAATAACATATTGCGATTTGCAACATGTGATGATGAAATACCTCTTTTAGGCTATGAACGTGGAGCGAAACCCTCTGTCACATTTTATGAAGTCCCTGAAAACAAGTCGTTCATACCTACCGCAAATACATGCAGTTGCAAATTACAGTTACCAAGACCTACAATTGAAGTAGGACTCCCAGATGATGACACATTATTTGATTTCTATGACATGGCTTTTGTTAGCGAATATTTTGGACACAAGTAATACATGTATATAAATTAAAGCTACAGTAATTGCTGTATTACAAGGTTTTTAATTAGCTATATCAGGTAAAAACGAAATAATTTACCTTTTAGTTAAGTTTGTAATGGGCTTCTACATTTTTATACAAAGTTGAATGCCTAATTTGTGTTGTGGTTGATATACAGTATAAATATCTGCTTTACATTTAGATGGAATTTTCTGTGTCATTAATATTGTTATTTTTGCTGGTAAATACAGTATATAGCCTATAATACAATAATTATGTATAATTTCTAACAATGCTTACATTTGTTGTGTTTCATCTATATTTAGCAACTCTTTCACTAAAGTAAGTGCTTCTGGGTACACATCAATTCCCATATCATTGGAGTCTCTTAAGGGATTTACTCTCTGCGGAGCTCTCATAAATTTTGTGTCAGGTGTTTCATAAATGGGAGAAACAACAACATTGTTATCACTGTCTTCAAATGGTGAAGGTGCATGAGGATCATATCCATAATATTGCAAATCGTCTGGAGTTTCATCTAGACCATCATGTTTCAACGGATTTTCTTCATTCATCATGCCATTAAGCCACATTTGATTGGGTGACCAGTTATTAGCTGTTCTAATACCATGCTCATTAAAAGCTCTTTGGTATTCATGGAGTGCTTGATTGATTCTGGGTAAAAATACATAGTGCAGTGTAAATACATGTGTCGGGTTATCTAGAAATGAATTTCCAGCATCTTCCATTGCGTAGAACACATAATAGAAATAATGTAGAACACAACGAAATACATCGCGAGATATACCGAGCTTGCCGTTAGCTCATACGGCAAGGGCGCTGCGTGCGGAAAGTTAAGCGCAGTCGGGGTCGCGATGTGTTTAGGGGCTTCGGTGGCCAAGTGGTTAGCGCACTTGCCTTTCACCTCTGAGGCTGCAGGTTCGAGTCTCACTAAGTACCTTCTCAGTGCGACTCGAACCCAGTCCCCATGTGAAAAGAGTAAAAGTCAACGCTCTGCCGAAAGCCGTGGGTTTTCCCCGGGTACTCCGGTTTCCTCCCACAGGGAAAGTTGACAGGGTGGGTTAGGTAAAAAAGGGCCCACAGTAATTGGCATATGCTGTTGTGGTGACCCTGCCCTAGTTGGCAAAGCTAAATAAATATAAATACTTATGATATACGTTCAAAAGATATTTTTAAAAAGTTGAATTGGAAAAACCTATCCGTAAAAAGAAAAGAGAAAGCAAGTGCGTATGTTCCAAAAGCTATTACCGGAATTGCCCGAAAAATATAGCTGAAAAGTTTAAAATATCAAATTTTTATTGAATTGAATGTGTTTTTATTGAATTGAATAGGTTTTTTATTGAATTGAGTATAAATATGCTGGTTTGAATATTGCTACAATCGGCGTGCCATGATATTTGGTTCAACATTATGTTTCACCTAATTCGTCGAGGAAGAGAAAACCTTCGACTTCTCACGAAGCAGTTGTTCACGACAGGAAGAAAGTTTGTTTACCAGGCGGCTGACGAATTAGATAAGAACAAAAGAGGCCATGACAAAGCAGACGATTCCCCAGGTGAAGGACGTATGTATGAACAAGACGGCCCATTGTGTCCAGTGAAGGCATTTGAACTTTATTTAGCAAAGCTGAATCCGAAACGATCTTGTTTATGGCAGAAGCCTAAAGCAAAGGAACATTTTAAAGAGACCGACGAAGTCTGGTACTGTAATGTTCCTGTTGGTAAAAACACTTTAGGTACTTTAATGAGTCGGATTTCCAAAGAGTTGGAACTTTCACAAACATATACAAATTATCGTATTAGGACGACAGCCGTCTCGTTACTTGACGAGTGTAATTTTGAAGCTCGTCATATTATGCGTGTTTCTGGGCATAAATCTGAGAGCAGCATTCGCTCGTATTCCAGACGACTCTCAGAGGTAAAACAAAAACAAATTTCACACTCGCTCAGTAGTGCTTGCTTTAATAGTACGAATGCCAGTAGTTCTAGTGAAATTGTGTTAGTAAACGAAGCAGAAGAAATAGTTTATACTGAGTCTGAAACTACAAATTGCCCACAGTCACCTGTATTGACTCAGAATTTTGCCTCTCACAGCCAAGAAACTGTCAATTTTCATTCTGGAGCTTTTCCCGGGGCAAATGTGACCATTAACTTTTACAAAAAGTGACATTTTATTGTAAATATATATATTGTTTATGTTGGGTGAATGCGAACGCTTGTTTGTTACATTTTGAAGCCATATAGTGCATATGCATTGTAAAGCCTTTTCATGAAATAAAATTGTTGTGTAAAATATATTTTTGTTCCTATACAGGGTGTATCAAAAAAAGCGCAATCCTCGACTGAAATGTAAATTGCTAAACAAATAATAGACGAAAACGTTAAAGTTTACATTCATTTTAAAGCGTAGCCATTCAGCTTTCTAACAGTGGGTTGTTTCTTAAATTTGACTCATTGGTTCGCGGGTAATAATATTTTACGTTATTGCGATTGGAGATTAAAAAAATTGAGATGGAATAACAAATCGTTCTCATAAAAATAACTGATTTTTTCATTAAAACAAACAAATGTTGCATTTTATTAAATGGATTGTAACAATAAGTATAATTACGGCTTTTCTTCCACTATTTT